CTGATGGTTCCATTGACAAACAGAAGAACAATTCGATGGATACTGGACAAGCTGGGTACAGAGATGGCGCTCTAAAAGTGTAATGCCAGAAGGAAACTGCATTTTTGGGGAGAGATGGTTTTGAAAACTCCCTTATAACAGGAACAGTGGAAGCCAGCTGAAGAAGAGGCAGACGTGTTATTTCTTGGTTGAAAGAAATCCACATATATACAGAGGAAAAACTGTCAGAAGCAATATGGACAATAGCAAACAGAAGGATGGCACAAATTTGTGATTGCCACAGCATACAGCGCCACCTGACTTAAATAAGAGGAGATGGCGCTCTTCGCTTTGGAGAAACAGCTAGATGTATTATTTTCGCAAAGAATTACTCCTTTTGTTGTATAGAAGAATGCATGCCTAGTAATAATGGCAGATACATGTAGCATATTGCAAAATATAATCCTGTTCCAATTATAACCAGAAAACATGATCGCTACTACTTTCGAAAAATCAACTCGGTATATTTTAAACAAAACATATTGGTTGGAATTAAACAACGGGAATTCGAGCCAGAGTTTGTTGACATTATGCCCTGGACCGCTACAACATGTTGGTTTTCAACTTGAACTCGTGTTGTTGGGGGAGGGGGGGGGATGAGGGACGGGGGATGTACACCGAGTGCCACCGAGTGATGGTGCTTAAAGGGGCACGTTCCCGCCAGGACGTTATCGGAACATGCCATCTGCGTAAGAGCCGTATTTTGTTGGTGTCAATAGGCAGCTATAGCATCGTCCGCCTGCGCGTACGTATTTTGAACGCCCTCTGGAATACGGGGGCAGACAGAGACCGACAGAGGTAGAGAGGGACAGCCAGGCAGACAAAAGGAGAAGGTCGTTCGGTCCGTCACAAAAATACATGTACTAGGTTTCCTCGGAATTTGATTCATTACGGGCACTCGTTGAAAATGAGTGCTTCAAGAACGCTGAAGAAAAAAGAATGCTCAGTGGTATGTTCCCTCCCGTTACATTCCTTAAGGATCTTGTCCAATTCCACATCTCCCACTTGCAGATAAAATGCATTTAGAAAGCATTCTCAAAATATGTTAACTCTAGATCAGTTTGAACCATCGTGAACGTTTCCAGAGCGTAATAAAATGAATAGAAAAATTGTCTTTGAACGATAAAATTAAAGGAAATATCCAAATTTCGACCGTGCTGGGGATACGGGTGGGTCATCTTCCTCATTCTCTCTCTCTCCCTTTCTCTCTCAATCTTTCATTCACCCTCTTTCTCTCTCTTTCTATCTTTCCCTCTCTCACTTACTCTCAATCTCTCTCTTTCTCCGTTTTACTATATGTCTCTCTCTTTTTCTGTGTATCTGGTTTTATAACTCTTCCTAGTTTTCTACACCAATGCCCCCCCACCCCCCCCCCCCCCCCCCCCCACCTGTCCTCTCGGCAGTATACCGATAGTATATGTAGAGATCGTATTTCGAAATACGCTTTACGTATGAACGAATATTCAAGTATAAAATGTTTCAGATAATGACCTAGTCCAGTTAATTTGTCGAATTATCATTATTTATATCTTGTCACAAAGATATTTCATAATTCTGTTAATACATCTACATACAGTCATGACAGTATGCGTAACGGCGGCATTATGAAATGTCTTTTCTTTTCTTTATTTTTCTTCATTTAATACATGAAGGATTTCTCGGAGCCTATGAGAGAAAAGCTCATTCATGTACCTCACAGTCAAGATGTTTATGACAGTCTGCGCAACGGAGGCATTATGAAATGTCTTCTTTTTTTTTCCTTTACTTTTCTTCATTTACTACATGAAGGATTTCTCCGAGCCTATATGAGAGAAAACCTCATTAACGAAACCCCCCTGAATCATTTTGACAAAGGCATGTCCTTAATCCCCTCGTTATCTTAAACATCAAGAGCATTCATGGTGACTTGTTTTAGGACAACATTATGAAATGTACTTTATCATGTTTATGTAAAGGCCCGGTCCCACTGCACTTACGGATGCAAAGAGGATGTTAAACGTAAAAAAAAATTGCCATCCGTTGGAAAACGCTATGCATCCGTTGTGTACTCATTGCATACTTGTTTCATACGCTCTATTCATCGAGCATCCGTCCACTGTGATTTCATCCGCGTAAAAAGTTTTGAGCTGCACAAAACTTTTAGAACGGATGAACTTCCGCCGTGTATACGGTGTAAATCCGCGACAAATACGAGCAACAAACGTTCTAGGTCCGTTATCATCCGTTAAACGTCCGCTGTATCTTCTCTGCATCCTCTGGGCCTCCTCGCAACTCACATCCGCTGCAGCTGAAAACAGAAAGAGGGAGGAAAGATAAGGTACATGGAACGTATATCGTTAGTAGCACGGAAATAGAAATTTTGCTCGTCCGCTGTGTCCTTTATGCATACGTTTTGTGTCAATCGGCCAGTGGGACCGGGCCATAAGGATGATTTATCACGAAGTGGTGCGGTGTCCTTCTATGATAACGCACAGCCAAGTTACGTCTTGTATAACGGATTCTTACACAACAGTTCTTGAAACCTGTGTGAATTTAAAGGCATCGTTTAACAATTTTAAATCTGAGATGCATGGCCCTACGTGTTATCAGTGTCTGTGATATGGTAAAAATATTGAATCCCGAAAAAAAAAGACTGCGCTTCAAAATGATCATGAAGGGAATCAAAAAAGTAAAAATCTTTGAGTGACAGGTTTTACCATACACATTTTCCCCAATAAAAACCGTTAGGAAAACGAATTCTGAAATTTATAATTCCAATCATAGATATCTTGATAATCAAACAGGCGATTGGGTTGTAAAAGTCATGGGATTCAAGTATGACGGTTTATAACTATGATTGCAGCATAACTATCCAGGATTTTATTAGAATCTGAGGCAAAGTTAACCTACCCCTTAAAAAAAAATATGTAAGATGTTCTCACTCGATTGCTTGACCTTCAGTCTTGTTTTCATTGTTATGTGTCATGGCCTCAACTTATTTTTACTAATATTTACTACTACTAAATCCTCGATAAGTTGTTCAACTGGCTAAAAGCAATTATGTCTAAATAACAATAGTTCTTTAAACACTAGTCAATAGATCGTGTACGCGTACTTTAATTAGGTCAAGTGCAATCTATTCCTAATTTCTAGTCCGGATTTTGTGTGTATACATAATGGTATGACGTAAGATTCATTTGACCGGGTGGTCAATATAACATTTAAAATGACCGGGAGTACATTTTATTATGTCGATTGGTTGTGACTTTAATGTCCAGAGTTTTTTTGATTTCCGCGAACTCTAACAAAAGTGGTTCAATAATTAGATAGGCCTCGGGATATATATCAAATGAGGAATGATACAAGTAGCCTACACATATAACCTTGCTGTATCCTTTGTAGCCAGATAGAGAATGCAAAAGGATTTTTGCTTGTGTAACAGAGAAAATGGGGTCTTATTATAACAGTTTAATTTAAAATAACGTTTCACTTTCGGGTTTCTTTCATCTGTTATATCACATTGCATCTTACATAATATATATACGTACGTACATACATACACACATATACATGGCATCATACTCTCCTCGTGTAATCAGTTTCTTTAACAAAATATGATGGTTTGATATGATTAAAACCGCTTACTACAAAACATAATTAATTATTGAGCCGATGATGATTTATCATTAGGCCTAAAATAAAAACTTGTTGTATTGCCCTTTGGGTGCCAAAACATGGGTCGGTCGGCCCTCTTTTGGCTGATATTTCTCAGTTTTTAATGCTTTAATACATGTGTTTCAACGTCATTATTCAATTTATATCTTTTTCACCTCATAATCATCCATGGTTCGCACGAGTGAGAATTTTTGAATAATTTGCCTTTATGCATTTATATCCCATTTAAACAAACAAAATACATATTTTTTATTCATTAATTAAAACAAATCTAAAAAACGATTAAAAAAAAAACTTGTTTAAAATGCCGACTATAGATTTTCAGATTTTTGGGTCGGTCGCAAAGGGCAATACAACAAGTTTTTATTTTAGGCTTTATGTATAGGCTCCATGTATTGTATAGAGATAATCACATACTTAAGAACTGTCATTCCGACCCCCCCCCCCCATAATTACCCCCCCCCCCCCATAATTACCTCCCCGTTGGTCTCATGTACCTCACTATAATATTTATTTTAATTTAGGATTGTCACCATTATGTCTTCATTTTGTCATAACCTCAATTTTTATTATTACCACTGCCTCCACCATCACTACCTGCCGACACTGTATTCACAAGAGTACGATGCAACTAAATCATCGTCATTTATCTCAATCAGTATTGTTACTATAAAATTCTAATCAGTACCGTAACATCAACATTAAAAACCATCATCACTAGTATAATTATCTCATCAGTACCACCGTGTTTACCCCTATCACCGCCACCACCATGATCATCATGATCATCATCACTATTACCATCACTAACCATCGTCATCAAATCACCACCATAATTATAATGATCAACTTCATTATCATCACCATTACCGACATCATTAACATCATCATCATCACCGAAACTACCATTATCAGCATATCTACACTCGTCATTTCCATCAGAATTGTCTCCACTTTCATTAAAACATCACTACAACCACAAAAATCATCAAGACACCATCATCATTATCAACATCATCATCAGTACATTCACCGTCGTCATCATCATCACCATCATCAGTACATTCACCGTCATCATCATTACCATCATCATCAGTACATTCACCGTCATCATCATCACCATTATCAGTACATTCACTGTCATCATCATCACCATCATCATCAGTACATTCACCGTCATCATCATCAGAACATTCACTGTCATCATCATCACCATTATCATCAGTACATGCACCATCATCATCATCAGTGCTCTATCTAGCAAAAAAATATTATGAGTAAAGAAATGACACGTCTAGACAACTTCATTATTTTTCTCCTATTTTCTTGGAAGAAAATGATTTAAATAGACAAACAAGATATCAGAAATCAATAAAATCACAATACTAGTGAATCTAACAAAGGTATTACCTACAAAAACATATGTTGAAGAAGTATCAGATACAAAAACAACCAGAACGGTTCAGTAGGCTATTAGCGAGTACAAAAACGGTCAGTAGGGTACTATCTTGTGACTGTACAATCTAAACATTTATTCTAGGTATAATGTATACAAAATCATTATTAAAAAAAATATCATTATTAAGTGGAAAGTGTACAAAAAGCTTTTGGTGGGTTTCAGAATTGCTTCCACCTCTATATACAATCGGAGTATGAGACAAAATACCCTACATAATCTTCAGTTATCTGTTACTATACAAATATTGACTGCTTTGAGGGTCACTGTTAAAACTATCACCCATACATTGCTATTGAAACTGTTCTGTGTACATAGTTGGGACTCAAGATCACAGAGGAGCTAATTTTATCAGTGACATTAAGCAGTCAATATTTTTTTAAATATATCACATCCTTGTGTTTATTTTTTTCTTCTCCAAACTATTTTACCAAAATATGTCTATTACAATGTATTTATTTGTAGAGTCTAGGGAAAATTACTGATCTATAAAGAGCATTGCTTGTGTTTCACTGAGCATATTCATCATCCGTAACTGTTGCATCATTGCATTTTACACTCAAGTAGAACTATGCCCAGTCAATATTTTTTGTTTACTGCCCAGCAGTCAGTAGCAAATTTCCTGGCTGCATTTTTTTACCAATCAGAGGGCTAGAATCTTCATATTGGGTATATGACAAAATATGTACCTATTTCCACAATTACAGCTAGTAAATTCTTGTAGTTTTTATCGCCACTTTGTAGAATTAGACAATTAGCAAGTTAAACGGGCCTGCAATTCCTATATTTAATAGCACTTTCTTCCATCTCCCTGTCTGAATTAAATACACCAACACAAATGAAATGTTCTGTCCAAAACAGAATTGTCAAACAGGTGCATGAAATATGAATAGGAGTATGAGTTCATCATACTTGAAACATGACCCTGATATCTAAAATTAGACTCTATATGGTGAGTAAATTGCATACCGGTACATGTAACATACATGTAAGGATAATAAAATCATCTGTATCACAATCACTGCCCACAACCTTTTAAAATATTATATAAGTAGCTATATCCTATGTACAAGTGTAATATACATTCTACATTTTCTTTTCATATCAATTTGTATGACTTGAATTTATCATGATAATTTAACATGCACATCATGTTACTTTTCATCGATTTTGCTTCATTTAATCTCAATTTAATAAAGCGAAGCTCTAAATTCTGAAAATGTTTTACCATGGCTACACTTCATGCTACTCACATTATCAAGCGATACATATCACAACTGACAAATTCAGTCATAGATTCTTTAAAACAGATTTCGATCACTTTGCCAGATAGTTTCTTTCTTGTTTACTGCTTATGTGCATAAATACTGACTGGTTGACATAATCATCTGGTAATTCTTCACTTCTCATTTGAATGTTCATGTAAGCTTGAATTTAAAGTATAAAACATAATGCCGTAATTCTTGGAATACTGATAACATTTTTGTGTAAAAGTGATGTACAGAAAAATGAAAATTCAAAGACCGAGATTAAGAGGAAATCTTCTTTTTTTGTTTGTTACAGAATCGTGCGTTCAGACTTCCAGAATTTGTTGTTTATCTTTTTAGAGTCGTAGAGCTATACCATAAGCAATTACCTCTTTTTTAGTCTGTACATTATATGAAAAAGTAAAAACAAAACAGTGTTACATTAAACACACGACCAAGCATTTTTGAAATGATAAGCAATGAATATGTTCAACTGAAATGTGTGATTCTGTGAATAGGTACATGTATTACAAAGTAAAAAGTACAAAAGATCAATAATCTGTATCAAAGAATGTGAAATAATGTACAGTGGATTCTAAAGCTATACACAATCAACAGTGTGTGTCTTAAAAGTTAGATGAAGGCCCAGCAAAGCTCATCTCATCTGCCCTCTACATTGTTCTCCTATTCCATCCCGTCTTCCTTCAGTCCTCCTCTTGTTAGAAAGTTTGTATAAATTCTGAGTTAGAATAAAATGTCCAAGGTTGCTTTGAAGTGGTGTGTTGAATTAATAAAGGCTCTGTAGCTTATAGAACACATTGCTTGCCTGTTTACATAGTGTCCTGTATGTTTCCATGCAGTGGATATCAAGGCTATTTATCTACTTTCATCTCTGGCTATTTGTGATGTGCCAGTACTTGTGTTCCCAGTCAGTCTATTGAATGGATCCGTGTACTTAATATGATGTCTCCCTCTGCTTCTTTTTCCCTCAATTCTACCTGAATATCAGGCATTCCGTCTAAGGTAAGTAAGACACCCTGACACTAGGTAACTGTTCTCAACACTGTCCCGCTAATGTGCAGCCTATCCCGAAGATCTGTCTGAAGATTGTCAATTGTGTATTGCGGGCACATTTAACACCTTACTCTTTTCAGGCGTATTCAACAGCTCTTGCTGAGTAGTACAGAGCTCTCTAGAAGGCATTTTAGGGCTAAATCGCTCAGCTACGTTGTATTTTGTTTCACATTATTTTATCAGTTTCATAAGATCAGGTCCACGAGATGACCCAAGAATCCTAGGACGAGCCCAATGATGAGGAAGAAGAAAACGGGGGAGAGACGCCCCCATGGGCCCCTGGGCCAGAGGGCCGTGGAGATGGAGCTGGAGAAAGGTAGTCAGGAAGGGATGTTGGTCATACGGGTGAGACTCAGCTCGAGAACTTTGAGCCGCTCCTTGAGAATGGTCTTGGAGAGGATGGAGAGCTGGACCCTTGGATGGAGCGGTAGGATAGCCAAGACCCACCAGTGCCAATGTGGACCATTAAAACTCGACTGAAAACACATAAAATAAAAATAGGTAATTATTACTAGATGGAATGATGAATGATCCAGCAACTTGATACACGAGTCTCATAAATTTCAACCTTGGACAAAGAATATACCAAACCCTGACCCGTACCCTGAATTAACATCCATCCAAAATGATTGCCAAGATATTATAAGAACTAAAGCCTGGAGCAAATATGACAGCAACTTTATTATTGTTTGGTGAATTAAAACAGTTGATTGTGAGTTTATTTGGGTATTAAATACAATTCAATCAACCTCATAATCTCAGATTTAGTATTCAATAGTTTAAAAGGGGCTTTTGCCTACTATTTTTTCATATTTTTCTCCTTCCATTTCCTCAGGAATTTATCTTTTAAACATGTTCATGCGTGGGTGGTATAGAGTCATTCGTGAAGTAGGCAACTTGGTGATCACTACATAATACTGAGCCAACGGGTATTATGGTCCCGAGCGTATGTCCGTGTGCTGCCCTCTACATACCCACGCATGATCAACTTTAATGCGAATTAACTATTACTGTATGGGTGCTCACCTGAGGATCGCTTGCTTGTTGAGGCATGGGACCAAAGTGATCAACAATACGTGTCTGATGGTAGATGGGTAGATTAACAAACCAAGTACGGGCTTGTTGGTAGACAGCATGATTCAGAGCTCGCAACTCACTACCAGCGTCACCTAGTAGGCAATAACATAAAAAGAAATATGATAATGATGATATGCCATGTCTCAAAAGTTTATGTTTTATGTTCATAACCGTTTCTTAAATTGTAATATTTAATAGAAAACTGTCTCAGAGTAACTTTGAGTTGTTAATCCTGTGGTAAATGGAAATTATCCATGGTTCGTTGATATGCTTTGAACAGCAAATTTATGAAATCTCTATGAAAATTTTACAGAGAAAAACCAAACATGAAAATGCATTGGTGGGATTTAGAGTGCAAACACACACCTGTAGTATTTAACATTCACATACAGTCAAACTTCAACGCCGAGGCTGCTCCAAGGAATTAATAGACACTCAAATGGTGTTCGTGCAAACCATTACTTCAAGTCTGTGTAGACATGTAGTCACTATGAACAGGCATATGTAGCTGGTGTCAGTGCACATTTGACTGTAAAGTTTTTAAAGAAAATCTTGCTATTAGAGCATGCCATTTGACAGGAGACCACCAAGTCAATCCCTTGCCTTCCTTCAAATCAATCCTTGCTTCCACACACACACACACCCCTAGAGACTTACCTTCTGCTACGGTGTCCTTCAAGAACTCGACCTTGGCAGTGTTGTAGCCATTGCGCATTCCTCGCTCCAGGACCTTGAACCTTCTTCCTCCTATCGTACCCAAGACACACCTGCCATCAGGGAGGTATTCCAACTGGTTGATCTCCAACATGCACCCGTATTCTGCAAATCTAGGGATAGATTGAAGTGAACATTGATATTAGTAAACCATGAGTAGTTGTCTGGGGGTTGATGCTTTTTTGTTTTGCCTTCATTAAATTGGCAAGAAAACGGAATATGAAAGGAACTGTCGATAAACTTTTGATGAACAAATCATCTTCCAGATGGATACTAGGTTAGTTGCTTGTATTTTCATGTCTGTGATGAAATCAAGCATCTTCAGCTGTCTGCTCATAACTCATACAGTTTAAAAGGTTTTGTACTCGCTATCATGAAACCTACAGAATTCTTCAAAATCCAATTGTATAGTCATTATCATGTGACTATGTCTCAGAGAATGAAAATTTCCAAACAAATTCTTGACTTACTCATTTTCGTCATCAGCGACACACATGCCAAACTGTCTCGCTCCAGACTCCATCGCTTGGCGTATCATTAGACGATAACGTGGCTCAAAGACGTGGAGAGGGCAGGGGATTGTGGGTAAGGCGAGGGTGCACACAAATACAGGGATTGTGCCGCCATCTTGGAATGCATGACTGTGGTAGAAGAAAGACCAAATATAAAAGATAAAACAATTTATTTTTAGATGAAGTGAGGTAGGACCCTAAGAAGGAGAAAATAACAAGTGTAGTCATAAAACTTCTTCTAAAAAGGTACATAGGAATATGACACCTCCAAATTTTTAAACACATATTTGTGGAATCATCTTTCAACACATAATCAGACTCCACAAAACCAATTTGGGCTTATAGTGCCATTGTCAGCAAGTTTTCATCAACATTAAAACATGTCAAAAGAAGAGTATTTCAGCTGTGTTGACATAGTTTACTATTTTGTCATCTGAAGAATTTATAACTTCGCATTTTCATAGTTCAGGTATTAAAAATAAAAATATGGTAACAATAACAATATCCAAGATATGAGTTAAATATGTCATGCAAGAGATCTATTAGAACAGAATAACAGAAATCGGTGTTAGGCTTGAAACAATTTTCCAGTCATTGCTTACCTTGCAACTTGCTCCAACTCTTTTCTATGAATCAGCTGCCTCTCAGTGTAATCAGAAGGTAGATAGGTCTCCATAAGATCTAGAAGGGTGTAGGTCACTTTCTTCTCTCGGTTGCTCGCTTGATACTGCAAACAGAAAGGGATAATACATTTGAGTGCTCTTTTAAAAGAGTTTGTTGATTTTATATTTCGAATATCATTTGGTAAAGAATTCCATACATCTGGACCTCTGTGTCTGATTGATTTCTGGGCTAATGTAGTGTGAGGATTGACCACATGTAAATAGAGGGCGCAAGTACATGTAGCTACAAGTAGTGCAGTGGGCCTTTAAGGTACAAGACATATCCAAGTAAATATCAAACTATTTATACATGCAAGATATCAATCAATTTTTATCTCATAAAACACAAAATACATAAACTCCCATTTCATTGGGGTGGTAATGGATAGACAATGATAAGTAAGAAATGATTCTAGATTTATTGAAAATTTATATCAAAACAATTTTTCATCAGTAAAACCAAAACTGAGGCTTACCTCGGTCAAAGACTGTTTGCACAAAGGACAAGCCTGGCTGTAGTCAAGGCAACGATCAAGACATCCTCGGCAGAAAGTATGACCGCAAGGAGTTGTGGTTGGTTGATAAAACAGCCTGCAGAGAGCAATATCATGGGGAAGGATTTATGAATATTCGTTTTAAGTATGACCACACAAAGTTGTGGTTAAATGATAGAACAGCCTGCAGAGAGCAGTATAATGGGTAAGGGTTTATGAATATTCATTTGAAGTATGACCACACAGAGATTTGACTGGTTGATAGAAGAGGCCGCAAAAGAGCGATGGTGTTACATACTCACGCCATGTCACATGTTCAAACATGCACATTTTATTGTTATCGCATTTCTGGAAGCTTTACACAATATAAATAACATGTTTTCTAGAATGTCTGTTTACGGTTTCTTTGAAATACCCACTTAATGGTGAACAAATATAATTGGAGAAGCCATATCTATGTATACAGTATGTAGCGTAGACATAACCTATTTTATATGTAGTACAGGAATGTTGAATGTCCAGCCATGCAAACATTAATATCAACAATTTAAGCAGTTTACAATTGCTTCCTGCAAACGAACAGGAATTTATTCATGAATCGTCACAAACAAGTCAATGTAAAGCCTTTCTAACATATTCTCTACCCTGTCTATGATTTGTTCCGACCACCCCCTCCCCCCTCCCTCTCTCTCTCTCTCTCATACACATTCTCTTTCCTCTGTATACATTTTTTGTATTAGACTTGTTGACAGGCCTTTTAACTTGGGTTACAAGCAATTAACAAAACTTAGGATCATGCCTCACATCTTTTTGTGTGTGTATTCATCATGTTTGGCTGAAGCCAGATGCTCTCATATCTTCTGCTAAAAGGATACACTGAAGATATGATCCTTCCCTTATAATGGAATGGGCCCCTCTTAATCAAATTCAACATCTTGATCATATGATCCACTTCAAATAAAAATCTGCCCATGTCTTGCATTCACATGCATTTCCTGTGCTAACAATAAAACCAAAATGGTAACTGTTGAAGTCCAAAATATTGATTGTTCAAGTCCAAAGTCTCATCAGAGTACAGGTCACTGAGATAACATCTTGACTCATATAAAAAAAAATGTACACACTCAAGTAAAGTCCGTCTACCGATTTATACAGTGCAGAGTGTAACTATCTTCGACCCATAGTTATTTGAGATAGTTACATCACCAGAACTTGCTTCTGATTAGTCAGAAATTTCATGAAGCTCCTTAAAAGTCCCCTCTTATGGAGATTGTATGTGGGAGGTAACTACATGTATTTGGAGCCACATGATTTAACCTATTTGATTTGATGTCTCATAATACTGAGTATAGTGTATTTCTGCACATAAAATAAATTGACATCAATCAATTTACATCACCAATCAGATGAACTTGTTCAGTGATACAATGATCAGATATACTATAACATTGATGGGGTTGATAACATTTGGGCCAAAATGGCTTGGAGTTTATACAAGGCCATTAAACAAAGAAGAGTTATATTTACCTTAGACATAGGCTGCATTCAAAGTCTGCTTTCTCAATTATGTCAAGGGGTATCTTGTATCCAGGTCCTGGCTTAGCAACTGCTCCATAGAAAAACAAAACAAAAAGAGAGGATTGATTAAATTCTTATTATCTGTGAACTAAATAGGGAATATGCCTTTCTTTGTTGCAGGCTAATGTGGATATGTAGTTCTGTTTGAATAATATTTCTTCATTTTTTTCCTTTTTTTGGGGGGGGGGGGGGGGGGAGGTTCCAGTGGTTTAAAAACTTTAGAAAAAAAATCTTTTTGATAATTAAACCACAATTCTCTTAAACGCTTTAATATAAACAAATTAAGTTGATATTAATGAAGACTCTTACAAGAAAAAGAAAAAAATCTTCAATCCTGTAGAAAACCTTACCTTGCTCCTTCTCTCCAGAAACCCTGCTTTCTAGCATACTCAATGGACACTTCTTGAAACGTTTGCTTTGGTTCTCGGTATGAGGGGATGAGCCGTCTGTGATGGGCTGGAATTGTTCTGAAATAAAAGAAAAGCAGAGATTAATGGTATCCTGAAACTTAACTTTCAAGAGATTAAACCTTTAGAAACACTGCCAACAAGATCATTAATATTAAAATTTATATGGGACATTGTGTCCAACACATGAAAGTCACCAACAAGTATTAACAAGTTCTAAATATGAATATGATATAATCTCTAGTAGGATATCAACTTATACATATAGATATGACCAGTAGCAAATGCGGCATAATAGCTTGCACTTGCCCTAATTAATTCTATTTTAAGGAGTTCTATGAGATTCCTTTCTGGACTCATACCCTTTTGCTTCATTCCACCTCGTTCAATGTGAAATGAATATGACATTAGATTGTTGGCTGTAAATTATAACAATAAATGAAGGCATAAAAGAATTCTGGATTAGTTGAGCAGTACTTTTTATTCTTGCTTGAGAGTTGAGTCAATGGATAACAAGTTCTGAAAAACTTACATAAATGTCCTTAAACAATTATTCCGTAACCTTGAGTACATCCTTCATTGAACACTGCAGACATTGTGATTATATTGTATCCTCACAAATTAAGAAATATTTTTCAGTTAATTGTAAGAAAAATGTATGAACAATCTGATCAAATTTTCCTTCTCTGTTTGAACCACTTCTTTATGAGACGTTGCAAGATGTTCATGACTTCATGTTTTGTACAATTTCATTGGTAGTTTGTTTTTACGAATGTTTTTAATATTTCATATGTCATCCACTTCACTGGCTGTGATGAAATGATGATAAAACATTCAATTTAATTCAAATACCTTTTGTAACATCATTTCTGTTTGTAAAACTTTTTGCTGCATCATATCTGAACAAGGCTGAACACTTGAAAAATATGCCACTGATTGTACAAAATCACATCACTTACCATCGGTTTGACTTGGGAGACGTTTCTTGGTGTATTTGCGATCAACTGGTGAAAATTTCCTCCTATCCAGGGTCCTGCTTGTATTTAGATTATGCTGAAAAGTTAACAAAGATAAATTTTTTCATTATTACGATGTATTAAGGATACAAAACTAAGTCATGAATCAACAGCTTGCTTTGTCAGAAGGGGTTCTTCATTATCTTAATTATCGTTTCCATGGATTTGGACTAATAAATACAAACTGTGAAACTGCGGTGAATCATAATAATGTATGTATACAAAATAATCACAATGCTATTTAAGGAATGATATTGAAATATTAAATATGCCATATGTGCCATGCTGTGTCATGACTGTGTCATATCTATCCATAGGTCACTGAAATCAATTATGTTTTGTCCTTATCATAATCTAGGATTAAGGTCATCCTGATTTTGTGTACTCATATCGCACATGAATGTTCACCTGACATTTTCTCACCTTAACTGGAGAACTCTCATCCTTCTTCTCATCTTCCTTCTCCTCTTCAGCGGCCACTTCTTCCACCCTGCTAGACTCCTCCTGTCCATCACTGACCACATCATCGAGGTGAAACTTGTTGAAGATCGGTGATCGTTGCAGCTCGTTGGCCTTCAGGCTGCTTGCATCCACAGGCTGGAGGAACGTGTGGAGAACCTGTAGAGGGAAAGGCAGGAGGAAATAAATCAGTCATGTTAGATATTTCAGAAAAGGCTTTTATTTATCATCATTCAGCAGCAGGTTCTTTTTAAAGATGTTTCAGTGAAAAAAATACACGGGGGCTCAGTGCGAATTTGCCCCCGAAATTCAGGACAGAGCCCCAGTAAATTTGCATAGAGTTCAATGCAAAACAAATTTTAGAGTGTTATTTTTATGCAGGCAAGCTTGAAAAGTAGCACCTGAAAAATAAATATTAATTTTTTCCCTGGGATGTTTACAAAGGAATTTTAGAGAAAAATTTCAAATAAGTGATTGTTACCTTGGTAAGGGAGACCTTTGCCGAATGAAAGGATGGATCGAGGGTGAGGCACCTTGAGAAAGCTTCCATTCCTTCTTCTTGCCGCTCTAAACCAACCAATGCTGTTCCTTTCCTGTAGAAGCCCTGTTCAAGCACAAAACAATGAGAAATGTGTGACAGACATGTACATTTCTCTCCTAAATTTGTATGTAAAAATATGCATGTGATAGAATAATTCAACCTAATCCAAGTCCAGCTCAGCTTCCATGGGTGGAGCATTAATATGCTACAATTTAATTTACATACTTCTCAACTGTTAATAAATATAATGTCAAGTATGTTTTCGGGGAGGTTGATTTTAAACATTCTACATGTATTCAAATTTTGTATTGTATTGTGTTTTTAAATTTTTTGCATTTTTCATGTGATTGATACACTTGAGTCAAGTGTTTTACACTCAGTATGAACCACATTTAGTTGGGCCATAGGGATATGATTGGAATACAGAAGGATGCATACCTTGGCCCAGTCAGGTCTCATCTGGCAGACTTTGACTGCATCTTGTAATGCTTCCTTGTACAGCCCTTGGACATTGTATGCATGAGACCGGTTGCTAAGACATAGATGATCGCCCGGTGCTGAAATATAGAAATACACAAGAAATGTTTCCTTAATTTATTGATATTATGAACAAACTGAATGACATCTGGTAAAATGACAAGGAAAAACACAAAAAAAAAACTACTAAAGATTTTTCAATTTCTTAATAAATAAATAAAATAATTTGATATCTGACACATTGATATGGAAAGACTGTAGACACAACAAAGGATTAATCTTTTCTTAATTTATTTTTTAAACACAGATGCATTGGTATTTCATGATCGAATTCAACAAAAGCGGGCTTACTCAACCTCAAATTTGCAGCAAGGCCGAGTTCGCCCGTAGTCTGAGTTAGCCAGACTCCATTATAACACACACATTATGTCACAAGGCATTGACAGAATATTACACAACAGACGTCTGTGGTAATCAGCACCCTTGTGCATTGTGTTTGTGGACCACAGTTCGCTCCCTTTATGTAACGTTGCTCTGACACTATTGTGTAAGCATTACAACAGTGCTTAGGCTTTCATTCAGACCCTATCTCTCTGGTCGATGTGTTGTAACATTCCGGGAATGTGCTGCTTACGTAATACGTATAGCCCGCTTTGGGGGGGGGGGGGGGGGGGCTGTGTATGTACGGGGCTGTGTTATGTAAGGGGCTGTGTTATGTAAGCATGTTAGCGGAGGCTGGTCCAGTGATTAACTGGGTCAGTGGCATGTACAATGTACCTGTGGGAATGCACCATTGTCGTATTGAGGCTGGATTTCGTTATGACATAGAGAATGATGCATAACTGCATATGAGGTACAGTACTAGTGGTAAATTGGCAAATCAGACCTTTGTTTCAAAACATTGATAGATGTACATCCAGCGGATGGACATTCAAATGATTCTGGTACAATTATATTACCGAGATATTGTGACCTCTGCCTTTCTGGTCAAAGACAGACGGGTCAAAAAGATTTACCGGTATACTATCATGTGATTGATGAAAATTGGCCTCAATTCTAAAGTCATGCCATACATGTAAGTGCAGTTTCATGAGGCCAAATCCATATTTTTTTTTTCTCTATTCTTTTCTTTTCTTCTCTTTTCTTATATATTCTTTTTTTCTTTTTTTCCCCTTTGATTTCAGTGTACATGTACATGTACTGTAGGGGCTTGAAATAGATAATTTATGACAAACCATACATTTCTTCTATTTTCTTTTAATCCTTAATAAATTATGACTTGGTATACCAAATCATACTCTGTTCTTCTAGTAAAAGAAATGAATACATATTTCTGCATCATAATTACCTTCCCAGATCCCAATACGTACATGTACATGACATGTAAATGTACAACTACCTACATTGACAGCAGTATTTGAATTTTTCAGTACAGACTTACAAAAAGAAAAGCAGATTGTGATCTGGTAAACTATTTCATTGGATTAGAAAAAGAAGTTGACATGCTCTAAATTTCTATTTAAAAAGTAACTACCATTTAATTTTCCTTCGTCACCTACAGTATATTTATGTAGAATTGTAAATGTTATAATGGCTTCAATCAAACAGGGAATTTCAAGAGTAGAATGAGCAGAACAAACACGTAAGTCAAGTCAAGTGGCACTTCTCTGCACTCTACAGCCTGTCTCACTCTTACACAATACCTAAGGCATGCAGTATCTTTCATTTCCCTTTCACTTCTTTTAAGTTCTTTCATCATTTCATGATTCAATTTTCTACTGCTACGGGCAAATACATGTATCTAAACAACATTTGCAACCATGTTTTGTTGGTATTCCTATGTTTTTCTTTAAACTCAATTATATCCACTCAGAGATATTGTTCAGGAAAGCACAAACCATGCAACTGCTTTTGTTTTTACTGCAAACATAATTCAAGTCATGATCAAGGGAGGGGGGGGGGGGGGGGTCCATTGTGAATATAACAAAGACATTACTAAAAAAAAAATGTCCTCCGATACTGGGTGTCTGTTAAAGCAGACTTTGTTGTTGTTTGTTTTTAAGACAGCACCAAAACAAACTGTGCAAAGCTCTTTCAAATATAACTATAAAATATATATTTTTTTAAAATAACTTTAAAAAACCACCTGAAGAATAAATAGCAGAATTACATACTACATGTAGATTTCCTTGTAAATAATTATTTGATAACTGCTCACAGTGTTTTTCAATACTGAACTAGCCAACACAAACACACGTGGCATAGTCACTCTTATGAAAGAGACCATGAAGGGTATGCTTGAGCAGGCCCACAAACAAGACAAAGCTAGGCACACAAACAAAAGGAGAAGAACCCTATGTGTCATGAACAATGAAGATCTTACGAAACTTTCTATTATGTAACCACCCTGTGACCTACAATGTATATTTAGACCACTTCCTGGGTCAATCCCCAACTTAAAAGATGTTACCGGTAAGTGGTAGTAAGTGACTCTTTGGAGTGTAATTCTTTTGAAGGGGTCCGCTATAACTCTTTTGGAAGGGGGTCTAGAATAGATTTAACATTTTACAGTCTGTGTGCATCAGCTCTATTAAAAAAATTAAGGGCTCGGCACTTTGATTTTAGGACCCCCCCCCCCCCCATGTGTCCTGGCCCCTGTTGGTGTCGCGCCCTGTCTTATGTGAAGTAAATAGGCATTACTGTTGTAATTTAGTATTAAAGATGTAATGCACAAGTAATCAATGTGATCCTAGTCTCTGAATAGGAAAAAAGTCACAATATAACAGGATTAATTAAAACAACCATACAAATGATGATGGTGATAATGAAACATGTAATAATAATAATAATAATACAATGTAGTAGTAGTAGTAGTAGTAAAAGTAGAATCATCATCATAATACAATTAAAAAAAAAAATTAAAATTTAAAAAATATATATATTATTGAACCCAGGGTTGCTCAATACCCTAGCTTTAGCCAATTTGCCCACATAATATCTTCACTTCTAGGAACAATGACACTGAATACAGTACGACCCCTTCTTTCAATTTTATGAAATTGTCTGTTCAGAGCCAAAAGGGCATACAGTAATAATTCTTTTACCGGTAGACAGTTTTAATGCCATTCTGGATCTAACAGAGGATACCCAAAATTACCTTGTTCATGTACAAGTAATATTTTGAACTGTTTTGAACTGAAGGGTGGACTATATTATTTTCCTACATGTACATGTATTTTCACACCACAGCTCTTCCCTAAAACCAACCCTACCCTACCCCTCCGCATTAAACATCAAATGTTCATACAATGTAAACTGCACTGATGGAGTATACTCGATTTATATAAACATAAAGATGAGTGTCACCATTATATTTTACCTGTTTTTATTGCTAAACTGTATTTCTCCTGAGCTTCTGAATGTCTTCCAAGCTTGAATAATTCATTGCCAGCAGCTTTGATTTCCTGAGAGTTGACTTCACTTGGAAAGTACTTTAGAATGAGTTCACTAAGAGTCACATCAAGAGTCATCTTTTTACTTTTACTGCCACTAGAACTGTACGGAAACTTACATATAACACAAGAACGTTTTGATTGATGTTCAACGCAACTTTTACAAAATGTGTGTCCACATAGAAGAGTCGTTGGTTTGGATAAGAGTCCACGACACACACAGCATGAAAACTTTCCAAGATCTTTTGAGATGTAACGCCCTGCATTTTGGCTGAGGTTTTTCACCAAGGCGTTTACGAAGTTATGAAGTTTATCACTGCTGATGTCTCCCATACGAAAAGCATGCGAGTACACGCTCAAGGCTTCATTGAGTCGTCCCATATTGGCAAGCGAATCGCCCTTCATGAGCAGAAATTCAATATTTTGTCCACGTTCCTCCAATAGTCGGTCAACTAGGTCACTGGCAAGCTCAAAATTTGATCGCCTAAATGCTTCTGTTGCTAAATCTTCCAATTCCATTGTGAATTGTGTTTAAAAAAATTATCGCTCAATAAGCGACATTGTCATTGCGATATATTCCCCATAATACGATCTTGTTAACATACAACAAATGTAGAGGTATATTGTTTCCCTGTGAAACAGGAAAATGACAGTAAACGAACACTTTAATTTCCTTAGTAATATTGAAGACAATGATGAATGTTGATCATCAAGATCATAAAGATTTCCAAAAGAGTAACCCTCAGTGCAGTGCTACATACGGGACTGGCGACTGAATTTTGACAAGCGATCCACACGACAGTTCAATCCCGACTGATTCGATGAAACATTCTCTGTTCGTCGTTTGGATAAATTACAGAGCCGGTGAATTCTCGTTCAAAACCTCCACGAATTAACACGTTCACTTAAAGTCATTACGCATTATATGAATCCGCTTGAATGTAGCAGTGAAGGAGGACAATCCAATTCTGAGAAATCCGGCATAGTATATCCCAGACAGAAACTGTTACGTGCATTTGTTATGATCATATTTACGTAACTGCAAAGTAAGAGCACCCGCACTCACGTATGAGTGTGTTGTAATCAAAGATTTCATAGCGCGTCTATATCATGAACCGGCTCGCACGTACTTCGTTGAGTTGCACACGTACATTATTCTTTATACCTTTTAACTAGTTTCATAATGAACGCCTTGCTGCGCATGTATATCTCCGTTGAGGTCAACGGGGCTCTGCCGCTGTTATATCATTCGTTCGCCTGTTCATTTGGGGGTATTCGTTCGGGCTTATGTAAGCGAACAGAGTGTTAGCTTTCATAATCGCATTCCCCCTGTTTTACAAAATATATTACAAAATTACGTTTCTATCATTACGTGGAAAGCAACTTATTTTATTTTCTGTAATAAAAGAAATGCATATTGTAAGCAGGCCTTTATCTAACCAATCGATACTTTTGTAAAATCCTCAAAGAAATGTATTAACACAGCAATAAATTATTTAAAAGTTGAATATATATATTATTATGTTAACGTCTTGATACGTTACGTTCTCAAGGGGTTTACATAATAACAGAGGGCATGTAATATATGGACGTTGCGAAGCCATACAACACACATGTTAGAGGTATATATATATATATATATATTACAAAATACAAAATGATTATAACAGAGGCTATCATTTCAGGGTTGAAATAGGTCAGCATTATGAGCTCAAACAAGGTCTTTTCAAGAAGACCAGGCTAATTGGCGCGAACCTTTGGAACCTTCGATGACCCCGTATCCCAATTGGGGTCAGGCTAATTATGGAGACGGAACCTAACTATGCTTTTGTTGTGGTCAAGGTATGGTGGTAGCCGAAACTGGAAAAGGGCATGTTACACAATCCGCACCATATGTACATGTAATGGGGGAGGGGGGGGGGGGGGGGGGGCAATGATGTTTTTTTTTCGAAGTCGTTTCATAATCATTGTGCAAGTATGCAAAGTGTATAGTCTGAGAGAAGTATGTAGTAATGATGGTAATTATTTATTTATATTTATGTGATATTTCATAAACTGCTAATCGATCTAATAATCCTCAATCAAAATCAAAATAAAAGAAAGAAAACTATAATAAAGAGTGCATAGAGGCCTATATTGGTTTAGAGATCGTTATCCAATGGGTAAAATTGTTAGCCTAACGTAATTTTTATGGACCAAAGGTTGTCAGATTCGTAAGCAGGCGCGGATCCAGGATTTCTTAGGGGAGGGGATCCGCCACTGTTCGTAAGAATGTTGCTATGTAGTTATAGCACAGCCACATGTCTCTGGTTGAAGTTTGACGGCAAATTATCACAATGAGTTATTTAACAGTAAAAGAAATATGTTTCTCAAAAGGATTCACACACCAGTGAGACCTTGTAAGTTATTACTCAATATACCGGGTTATCAAACAACAGCAATCCATAATTCAACCACTCCATTTGAACTACTTCCTTCACCTTTGACAAGAAAAATTCAATGAGCTCACTGTAGCGTAACTACGGGGGTTCACGAGCCTACATAATATACAAATAATGAATGGTTATGAGTTTAATAAAACGTCAATCTCTCAACGAATGGAAATATTCGCACTATTGAACGAATGAAAAACATTCATTATTTGTTTTATATAACATCTAAGTAGATCTAATAGAACATAAATCTTTCAACGAATAATGCTTTGCTCCTATATCAATGATCGATACACGAATTTTACACAACTGAACACAACCCCTGTGTAAGGAGTGAACCACCCAATATGTTGTGTAAAGTCGTTACACAACGTATTTGCAGTGGAGATGGGAAAAGGGAACGACAAAATAAAGGCGTTACGACCCCATCCTACACCCTTCCCATATGTACAGACCAGTGCCCCCCCCCCTCTCATCCAGTGATGACTTAGGACCCACACTACGCCACTGGTTAATGGTTAGTAAACTTCGGTAAGGAGTAAGGACATACATGTTGTGCAATACTCGCAACATCATGTTATCGAATTCGGCAAAAGCAAGAACAAATCACTTTATGGGTAGGGGGAGATGGTATCGAACGAAGTACAAAACAACTTAGAGCCACATTAACGAGTTTTCGATTTATTTATTTTTTCATTCATTCATTCATTTTTTCTTTCATCCATTTATTGTATTCATCTATCTATTCATGTACCCATTTATTTACTATTTTCTGTTCCCTTGAATGACTCAAGTGGTCAATTCGAAGGGCGTAGTTACTGTTTAAGTGCCCCACATAATGTTCATAGCAAATTGTGAAACACTTTGTGTTTTATGGTTAAATAGACATATCTTCCCTTAAATCCATAATCATTTGGGACCATATTTTCCGACTACTAAATTGAGTCAAGTCCATTGTAAGCAGTGGTGTAGGCAGAGTCTTCGATAGTGAGGGGATGATCTAGGAATCATCAACAAATTATTTCCCTAATTTCTCCTTTGTTATTGTTCTTTGACAGGGTGTAGAAGATCTAAAAAGGCTTATTGCATTATAACGGATGATTCGTGACCATCATCAGCATACACGAATCCAACCTGGACAAGAGGCGGCTACATTATGTCACTAAAGTGCTTTCTATTTCCTTAAATATAATGATCATGGATTTTAGGTTGTATAAGTTATCTTCTCACCTCATGAAAAAAATTCGGTCATTAACGCAGCCTGTATAACTGGGCCCTGAAAATATTTATAATTAACCTTTAGCCCACATCCTACTTCGCTAAATAAAGAACAAATGTGTTAATTTTGAGCATTTTGCGTTACAGGTCTAATTTCATGTGGGTGTCTTTATTGTTTCATAAGTGAGGTTTACACGACGGTCTTATATAAACTGTTAAGTTTTGTAGTCAGGGACCGTGAGGACGCACTCGTGGTTACGAAACTTTAAGGCCCGAAAGGAGGTTTGTCGACACAAACCTAGGTTTGAAACGCGTCGAAACGCGTCATATGACGCACATAAACCTAGGTTTGTCGACAAACCTCCTTTGTGAATTCGGGCCACAGTGAACTTAAAGTTATAAACTACGACATATCAAAACAGCGAGCAACGGTTTTTGGAGGCGGGGTGGTCTTCACTCAAAGTTATGTGCCGTGAGGACCCATAACTTCGAGGTTTTAGTTAAAACGAATGCTTTCCCCAGTTTGTATTTAACTTTGAATAATCGTTATATCGATCCCGTGTGAACTCTCCTCATTGTTAGTGAATCGTTGTTTATAAATTCGAGGTCTCGCAAACTTGAAGTATAGTTATTTTCGTCGTTAAGAAGCCATACAGTGTGAGTCGATGTAAGCATATTTATGTGACGAGTAGACAGGAAGAAATAAAATAAAATAAAATGTGGTTATTTACTTCAAGATTAATTAAGATACCCTATTAACAGGCTACATGTAAGGATTTCTCGTTATGTAAGATTGAAAATACTGTAGGTCATTACATACAGTTTCACACGGTGAATGGGCTAATAAAGAAACCAGTTATATTTTCAGCCGGGATTCTTAGTGGCTGCTACATTTTCTATCAAATTGAAATCGGCAAGGGGTGACGGTGGATGTTATATTTTCCCCATTAATTTACGAGTGGAATAAACGGCCCATTGACCTGATTGATGAGAAAAATTAAGCTAGAAACTTGCGTCACAATTGAAATTATTGGGGTCCCAAACGGTCCCCAAGTAAAATCTATTGTGCGTCCATTCTTTTCTTATTTCAATTTTTAATCAAGGAGTTTTTTCCTGAAAGTTTTGACAAGCCTCCAGGAAACAGGAGATCTTAGGTATGTACCGGAGAAATATACTTTGAAAACGATATTTTCGAAGTAGATTTGTATTTCCTAGTAAATTTTTATATTATGATATTGTCAATCATTTGTAATTGTAATTAATGTAAAATATAATTAACCGGTATCTTAGACCCCATTCTCACTCACTTCAGTGTTCGATTGAAGTTAATTGACAAATATGTGTTAGTTTTTTTTTTGTTTTTTTTGTTGTTGCTTCCACAATATCTTTTAAATGGTTTCCTTGTTTTGACGATTCTCGCGTAATGCCGCAGATTCACCGCTTCAAAGTAAATGGACTTCATCCAAAGGCATTGTATGTCACCAACTTTTCAAGACATTTCATTGAAACGGGTTTTCTGTAGTATTAAAAAACTCATTATAGCGGCAGCAACAACAAAAAGACCCCTAACAATGCCAACAGTCATACGTCACAATAAGAACACGCGTACTGTATGACATTTCCGTCTGGTCAAAAATGTAAACAAATGACTCAACCGAAATGTATTACATTTAAGCGTAATCGTTTCCTATTTGCGCGCTTAAAGGAATGTGCGCGCTGTGCTCGTGTGCTCGTGTTTGTTGTGCATGATATGATCGAAGATCAGCGCGCCACTGCACTAGCTTCCACGTACGTTCACGTGATAGCACGCGCGCTGTGTGATGACGTACGTATGAGCTGATCGGCGCCACGTGATTTTGCCTCGGATTGCATCATGAGGTCATGGCTCGTGCAGCTTCATATCATTAATACATGGCTTTATAGCTCACGCTCTCCGAGTTCCATGAGGCATGAAAACCAATTTGTAATAAATCACCACGCACCTCTCTCACTTGACATCTCGATATCCTGCACTGGAATTGGGATTTAATTGATTTCTACTGATTTCTATGCACTTCTCATTGACATTTGGATAACGTATTGGATATAAATAATATCGCTTTCATCACCACCGTCATCTTGTGTTGTGAAAGTCGAATTCAAATTTCAACTTCAAGTCGAGACAAAGCAGGAAGGACTAGATTTAGACCTAGATCTAGTCGCAGTGCAGTGGTAAGTGGTAGGCCTAATGGTATAATTAAAGCTAACGTCGACACTTGTTTAGACTCTATTTCATTTGCTTTGACTTTTGATCATATGGCTAGCCTATGCTCTAAGTCTAGCTAACATCATCATAGATCTAGGGCAATGAAATCGTTGTAGACTAGACCTAACAAAAGTTATGTCTAACAAG